TTCCAAGTAGCTGGGACTATAGGTTCTTGCCACAACGTGAGGTTGTTTTTACAGACAAGGTCTTGCTCTGGCTTAGGCTGGTCTTGAACCTGTGAACTCAGGCAACCCACCTGCTTCCCACCTCCCAAGTTCTGGGATTACAGGCATGAGCCACCACGCCCGGCCTTGAAAGTTTTATTTCTTGTTTTGGGAAGCCTTAACTTTGCATGACTGTCCATAAGCCATAATTGACCAGGAAATCTCCCATTTCATAACACCCACCACAGATAGACCTTGGGTAGGACTATCTTAGAGGCATCATTGGTCTCGTAAAATACAGACAAAAGCTCCAGGTATATTCTTTTACCCTCCAAAAAAATTAAGCAAGCAAATGGAAGTTGGGCCAGAAACAGCGAAGACCCAGAAGATCTGAGAGTTAAAGTGACTTCACTTGAAAATTGAGACAAGCGAGGTCCAAACATGGAGGGACCAGGGTTGTAGCAAAGGGAGCCAGAACTCCAGGAGGTGGGTTAAATAGCAGTCAGCATAATGGGACAGAATTGTCCTCAGGCCACACTTTTATAGCTACATCTATATAAGGTTATTAAACAGCAAGGAGGTAGTATATTTAAGCTGGAACTTTTTTTTTTTTGGACACAGTCTAACTTTGTCACCCTCAGTAGAGTGCTGTGACGTCATAGTTCACAGCAAACTCAAATTCTTGGGCTCAAGCAATTCTCTTGCCTCAGTCTCCCAAGTAGCTAGGACTACAGGCACCTGCCACAACATCTGCATATTTTTAGAGACAGGGATCTCGCTCTTACTCAGGCTGGTCCCGGACTGCTGAGCTCAAGGGATCCACTCATGTTATCCTCTCAGAGTGCTGGGATTACAGGCATAAGCCACTATGCCCGGCTTAAAGCTAGAACTCTTAACTTCTGTAACTCTCAAGAGAGATGAAATGGTACTGAGTATGGGGTACAAAACTCCATCAAATGTTTAAATCAATAAACGATGCAGTTGCAAAGATGACCAAACTACTCAGGAATGAAAGATTGTTTAGAGAAAAGAAAGACAAATGGTTTTTGTAGAAAAGAAAAAATATAAGTATTGATATAAAAAATGAAGAGGTTAAAGGGCTGGGCACGGTGACTCACGCCTATAATCCTATCACTCTGGGAGGCCAAGGCAGGTGGATTGTCTGAGCTAACAGGGTTCAAGACCAGCCTGAGCCAGAGCAAGACCCCATCTCTTAAAATAGCTGGGCATTGTGGCAGGCACCTGTAGTCCCAGCTACTTGGGAGACTGAGGCAAGAGAACTGCTTGAGCCCAAGAATTTGAGGTTGTTATGAGCTATGATGCTATGGCCGTCTACCAAGGATGACAAAGTTAGAAAGTCACTGTGGACGTGCTACTGGCATCTAATGAGTGAAGGCCAGGGATGCTCTTAAATATCCTGTAATGCCCAGGACAAATAATTATTTGATTCAGAATTTCAGTGCCGAGTTTGAGAAACCTTCTAAAGGAATTTTAAAGGAATGTACCTTAAGGAAAAGTAGAATGATCCCAAAAGAGTAATCAGAAATACAACAGAAATGAATCAATGAAATGATAAACTTATACTTTGACCCAAATAAATGTCATTTTTATAAAATAATAGTATCTTTATTCATAGAGTTTTTTAAAAAGACTACTGAAAGTACTGGACAGCAATGTTAGGTAAGTCAGGAGAAGAGAGTTGGAACTGAATTATTCAAAAGACTTTATGTTGTTTGAGAGGATATCCAGCTATTGTTTAGACTTAGTTACCAATTTGTTTTAAGTAACATATATTAAAATTTCAAGAGTAATTGCTAAAAAAAATAGAAATAGAATATAGAACCTAGAGGGAAGAAATGGATTTGGGAGGCAAACAACAAAGAAAAAGAAATTAAAAGAGAAAAACAGAGACAGAGAGAAAATAAGAATAAATCACAGAAAAAAAAACCCAAAAGGATATTAGAAGCTGAGGCTGATGGACTAAAAGTGACAGATTGTCAGATTTTTAAACATCCAGCCCAGGCAAATTGTGAAATGATAAATACATATTGTTTATGCCAATAAGTTTGGGGGTACTTTTTTAAGCAGAAGTAGATAACTAAACAATAATGTATATCTAAAATTGTTATACCTGCTTAGTGAATTAAACCTTTCGTTATTATGTACTTAACCTTCTAATCTCTAATAAAATTTTGCCCTTAAAAGCAAATTTATCTGATATTCTTTTCTTTTTTTCTTTTTGAGACAAGTGTCTAAAGTTTTCTACTTTTTTGTAGAGACAAGGACTCCCTCTTGCTCAGACTGGTTTTGAGCTCCTGAGCTGAACCAATTCTACCATCTTGGCCTTTCAGAGTGCTAAGATTACAGGCATGAGCCACTGCACTCGGCCAAATTTATCTGATAGCAATAAAATTATAACAGCTTTCATTTGGTTAGTATTTGTGTAGTATATCTCTTTCCTTAACTTTTAGCTTTTACATGTTCTTATATTATGTCTCTTTATTTTAAAAATTTTTTAAAGAGACAGTCTTGCTCTGTTACCTAGGTCAGAGTACAGTGGCACAATCATAGCCCACTGTAGCTTCAAACTCCTGGGTTTAAGGGCTCAAGTGACTGTAAGTGCATGCCGCCACACCTGGCTAATTAAAAAATTGTTTTTAATAGAGACAGGGTTTCTATATTGCCCCAGCTAGTCTCAAACTCCTGGTTTCAAGTGAGCCTCCTACCTTCGTCCCTCAAAGTGCTAGAATTATAGGGCTCAGCTACCACACCCACCTTATTGTGTCTCTTACAAACAGTGTATGTCTAGATTTTCTTGTTTAATCCAATCTGTCACTTTTAATTTTAACTAGTGAATTTTGTCTATTTGCATTATTATAATTATTTACATTATTGATCCATTTGATATTTTGACATCTTAAAATATTATTTCAGTTTTATTATCTGCTGTTTTATAGTCTTTTCTTTTAAAAAATGCTATCTAGGGCAGCTCCTGTGGCTCAGTGAGTAGGGCACCAGCCCCATATACCGAGGGTGGCGGGTTCAAACCCAGCCCCGGCCAAACTGCAACAAAAAAATAGCCAGGTGTGTGGCAGGTGTCTGTACTTCCAGCTACTCGGGAAGCTGAGGCAAGGGAATCACCTAAGCCCAAGAGCTGGAGGTTGTTGTGAGCTATGACACCACAGCACTGCTGAGGGTGACAAAGCGAGACTTTGCCTCTTAAAAAAAAAAAAATGTTATCTATGTTACCCTGCTCCTCAAATAAAAAAAAGAATATTAGCACACTCTCACATCATTCTCTTCCCTGCCTCTACCCCATCAGGTTGTTATTTTCTAGGTCAGTCAGAAAGGAAGGACTATTCAATAAATGCATTGGGAAGAACTATCCATTTGCTCCAAAGTACATGCCCTGGCTCCTTTCTGTCTTTTAAAATAACTCTCTCCTTTCCTCACTCTATTTCAGCCAATATTGTCCTTTCTGCATTATGAATCCACTAAAATTGTTTCTACTTTAGGATTTTTTAGAATTGCTATAATAGTCTAGACAGGGTGGCTCAGGCCTGTGATCCCAGGAGGCTGAGGTGGGTGGGTTGCTTGAGCTCAGGAGTTTGAGACCAGCCTGTGTAGAGTGAGACCCCTGTCTCTACTAAAAATAGAAAAATTAGCTGAATATTATGGCAGGTACCTATACACTGAGGCAGAAAGATTGCTTGAATCTAGGAGTTTGAGGTTGGGCAACAGAGTTAGACTCTGTCTCAAAAAAGTAAAGAAAAAGCTTGGCACCTGTAGCTCAGTGGCTGAGGTATCAGCCACGTACAGGGGAGCTGGCAGGTTTGAACCCAGCTGGAGCCTGCCAAACAACAATGACAACTCCAACCAAACTGTAGTCCCAGCTACTTGGGAGACTGAGGCAAGAGAATCGCTTAAGCCCAAGAGTTTGAGGTTGCTGTGAGCTGTGTGACGCCATGGCACTCTACCAAGGGTGATAAAGTGAGACTGTCTCACACACACACAAAAAAAAAGTAAAGAGAGAGAAAAAGAGGGAGGGAAAGAAAGAGAAGGGGAGGAAAAGGAAAAGATAGGAAGAGAGGAAAAGAGGGAAGGAAAAAAAGAATTGCTATAATATATTCCCTCTGTTTTTTATCTATTTCCCAAGCCTATCTTACATGCTTAAAGGTATAGGGTTTTTAATTAATTAATTTTTATATTGGGATTTTTTTTCCTCAGTATTGAAAATCTTAGTTTCTAATAGCATGTATATAACTTTTTATTTTCTCTCTACTCTTATATGACTATGTAATTATATAATTTTTATATAATAAAAGTAAGGAGATGTTCAGGTAACACATACTGCTGTCTTAGGTACCCAGTCTTTTTTTGTTGTTGTTATTTAATATTCACTAAATTCTTGTTGGGTGCCTCTTTAACATAAAATATGGAAGGGTTCATAGAAAGTGGACAGATCTAGAAGCAGAGAGCTTTTACTGACCTTATCAATAGCAGCAGTGTGTAGAAGAGCCCAAGTCGAGTTCGGGATCAATAAATATTCTATTCTTTTTCTCCCAGAGTAGGGTAACTTTAAGAGTAGGGTTTCTGTTGGCTAGAATTCTAAAAGACTAGTACCTCCAAAAGTTTTTGCATCATTAAGGAAAGGAATGGCCCATGTTTTTTTTTTTTCTTCCTCATTTTTTAATGTTATTTGTTTATTTATTTTTAATAGTTTTAGTACATACATATTGAATTCCATTACCCATATGTTATGTAGGATACATTGTACAGTGGTGGAGTCGAGACCACATTTACTTCTTAAAGGTTTATTTTGTTCATGCCAAAGGGGGGTCACATTCTCCAAGCAATGCTTACTGGGTTCTGCTCCAAGATTAAATTTGAATATGAAACGGTTATATTAGTACAGAATGAACATACAGTTATTTCGTGGTGTGTACCAATGAAAACCTAACTTGGTTTTATTTTTTTTCCAGATGATGGGCATAAGAAAGCTCGAAATGCTTATCTCAATAATTCAAATTATGAAGAAGGAGATGAATATTTTGATAGAAACTTGGCACTCTTTGAGGTAATATTTGGGAGAAGACTATGGACAGAGATTTTAGGAATAAATCTCAAAATAGCCATTTTCTATCTCAGATGGCTTTTAAATAGTACAGGCTGGATAATTAAATAACTAATGTTAAAATTTATGCTTACAACTTGTCAATGTAGTTAATTTTGTTCATATAATTTAATTGTAGTGAGTGGCCATTAAATCTAATTTTTATAAAGTAAAGAGGAGGAGTGTTGACCTCTCAAGCATAAGGATAACCTTGCCATCTAATTCAGCTATGATTTTTTTGAGACAGAGTCTCACTGTATTGCCCTCAGTAGAGTGCCATGGCATCACAGCTCATAGCAACCTCAAACTCTTGGGCCTAAGCAATTCTCTTGCCTCAGGCCCCCAAATAGCTTGGACTACAGGCACCCACCACAATGCCTGGCTATTTTTTGTTGCAGTTGTCATTGTTGCTTAGCTGGCCTGGGATGGGTTCGAACCTGCCAGCTTCAGTGTATGTAGCTGGCTCTGTAACCACTGTGCTACAGGCACCGTGTCTAATTCAGCTATGATTTAAATGTTTTTGTTCGAATTATTTCCTCTAAATGTAAAGCATTACATTTCTCTACTTTATGTTAGAGAAGACTGTCATTTACTTTAGAACTAAACAAAAATCACTGTAGGAAGTAGGCTACCAGATTAAGAGGAACTGTATGACTTTTCTTTAATTGATAAATAATAACTGCTTATTTTTATGGGAGGCATTGTAATATTTTGATGCCTAAGGTCTAACAATTAGTAAAGTTCACAAACCCATCCTAGAAAAAGTGCTACAGCCCTCATTGCTGAATATTACTACAGTCACCGTCAGAGTACTCCCCATGTCCATTTGGTGTCATGGTGTATTCAGCAATGAGGTGTACAGCACTTTTTCTAGGATGAGTACACAGACTTAACTGTTCAACTTCATATTTATGCCTTGTACAATGATTAAATTAAACTAATCAACATATATCATATACCTATTTTTTGTGGGAGAAACATTTGAATTTTACTTTTTAGCAATTTTGAAATATATAATACATTATTGTTAACTATAGTCACCACTATGCTGTACAGTAGTTCTCAAGAATGATTCCTAGGCCAGTTGCAGTGGCTCACGCCTATAATCCTATGACTTTGAGAGGCCAAGAAAGTAGGATCACTTGGCTCAGTGCCTATGGCTCAAGTGGCTAAGGTGCCAGCCACATACACCCAAGGTGGCGGGTTCAAATCCAGCCTGGGCCTGCCAAACAACAATGACAGCTGCAACCAAAAAATAGCTGGGTGTTGTGGCAGGCACCTGTAGTCCCAGCTACCTGGGAGGCTGAGGCAGGAGACTCGCTTGAGCCCAGGAGTTGGAGGTTGCTATGAGCTGTGATACCATGGCACTCTACCCAGGGGGATAGCTGAAGGCTCCTGTCTCAAAAAAAAAGAAAGTAGGATCACTTGAGACCAGAAGTTTGAGGGTTTTAATACCAGCCTGAACAATGTAACAAGATCCTGTCTTTACCAAAAATAGAAAAATTAGTGACGCATGATGGCATATATCATGCCTATGCCTATAGTCCCAGTCTCTTGGAAAGCGGAGCCAGGAGGATTGCTTGAGCCCCAAAGTTGGAGGCCGCAGTTAGTTGTGATGCTGTCGCTGTAGCGTGGGTGACAGAGCATGATCTTGTCTCAAAAATAAAAACACTCCTCTGTCTAATTGAAACTTTGTACCCTAACAGCTCCCCCATTTCCCTCCCACCTCACCCCCAGGGATCTGATAACCACCATTCTGTGCTCTTCTGTGAGTTCTCTTTTTTCAGATTCCACATATAAGTGAGATTATATGGTATTTGTCTTTCATGCTTGGCTAATTTCACTCAACATAATGAAAAAGACCTGTATGTCTTATCTGACTTAGACAGCATGGACTCTGATAGAGCCACTGATAGAGTCAGGTTGTTGAAAGGAGCCTGGTTTATTCCAACACTACCTTTCTTTGGCTCTGGACAATGATGCAAGTGTCAGTTCTCTCGATGTGCCTATTTTTTAAATGATGTTTTCTCTCAGCTTCCCTCAAGGAAAGATCCAAAGTGAATATTTAGTTCATTCACAAAAATTTTCCCTTGACCTCTCCTTGCTTGGTTCTATAAATAATAGCCATAAATGTTAGTAACCAAAAAAGGGGAAAATACTGTAATTAAGGATCATACTACCAATGTTCTTCACTAGGTTACTGTAGGGACTAGTAAAGTTTGTTTTTACTGTAGATAAAGTTATATGGCTAAAGAATAATGAAAGTTTTCACTTAAGAATTTTTTAAGTGAAAACAGGATGGAGGATCCTCAGAAATTAAAAATAAAAATACTATATGATCCACCAATTCCAAAACGAAATCAGTATGTCAAAAGATAGTTGTATACCCATGTTCATTGCAGCATTATCGACAGTAGCCAATATGTGGAATCAATCTAAGTATCCATCAGTGGGCGAGTGGATAAAGAAAAAGTGAGATACATACACAGGGAGATATTATTCTGCTTTAGAAAAGAAGGAAATCCTATCATTTGTAAGAACATGGATGAACCTGGAGGACATTATGTTAAATGAAAGGTAAATACAGTGTAATCTTACTTAAATGTGGAATCTAAAATAGTTGAACTCATGGAGTCAGAAAGTAGAATAATAGTTTCCAGGGAGTGATGGGGAAATGAGGGGACGGAATAGGGAGATGTTAGTCATTGGGTCCAAAGCTTCAGTTAGACAGGAGGGATGTTTTGAGATCTGTATATCATGGTGACTATAATTAATAATGTATACTTGGAAATTGCTAAGACAGTAATTTTAAATAGTGTCACCACAAAAAAAGTATTTGAAGTGATGATGCCTGTGGCTCAAGCGGCTAAGGCGCCAGCCACATACTTCTGAGCTGGCGGGTTCGAATCCAGCCCTGGTCTGCCAAACAACAATGATGGCTGCAACCAAAAAATAGCTGGGCGTTGTGGCGGGGGCCT